AGGTTTGCTGAGGACTGGGTAAATATGGAAATATGAAGCATGAGTAGGAGTTTGCTGGTAAAGTGTGGGGATGTGGGGAGTGGTGTCTGTGAAGGCCCTTGGTGTGTCGGGGGCAGTCACTGCATTCAGTGGTCTCATGAGAAGCTTCCCCACCACCTTTCCTCTCGTAGTAAGGACAGGCATCTTGGAACACTGTCACAAAAAGAACGATTCTGCATAAAGAAGTGAGGAAGGACAAAATTGACCCCCTGTACCTTGATACCCTTCCAACTCAACCAGAACACAGTAAAGGCTTACATAATGAGTTTCCAAACCCAGTGTGTGACACAGCTGTACTTACGAGTCTGTTTGTGTCCTGACATAAATCACTATTCCCCAGTCCCAGAACTTGGAGTTCTCTAGCCACTTGTGATAGTGCTGAGGCTTAGAAGGAAGGAGAGCTGTTGCTGCTTCTCACTCCTGGCTCAGGGCCTCCTGATAGTGTCATACGTCTAATCGTTACTCACAGGGACTATGGTCAAGGCCAAGTGGTGTGACGTGTGCATGTCTGCATCCATTAATTCCTGCAGTGAGAAAATGGGCACCTGTGGGGGCCCCCACTGTGAGACTGGAGCTTGGCATGGCTCCATGGGGCATTTCCCAAGGCAGTCAGGAGCTGATAAGATGTCTGGATGCAGTGGCAGCACTGACCTGGAGAAGGGTTAGGATTAGTCATTGAGGACACCTACACCCTACGCCCATCTGTCAACTGGAAACTACATCCTTGCCTTCCAGGAAGGTCACCAGTTGGGGCTCGCACATCTCCTCTGTGAGACAAAAGACAGAACATGTCGGCAGAAAGATATGGAATTTTTTACCAAGTCCATACCTTCTGGAAATTTTCTCAGGTCAACCACAAACCCTGCCCAGAAACATGCAAACACTCTCTATGGGACTTTCTCTGGCTGAGAACCTCTGCAGGCACAATGATGCTTCACTCATCTTTCTATGGACCCTGGTAGGTTCGCTGGAAAGGCTTATGGAATGAGTGCTGGACAGACCCATGTGTTACATCTAAACACAGGTTTAGAGGGTACTAGTGCATATTCCAGGCCCTCTGAAATGATACATGTAAAGCAGATGGGCAAAGTCACACAGGCACACAGCTTTACCACTGAAATGTATGACGGGAAGAAAGAACTGAATGTGGAGGTGGGTATGTACTGAATATCATCTTTGGTAAGAGTGGGCATTCTGTGAAGAAGCAAGAGCAGGTCACAACAAAGGTGCGCATGCCCCTTTGTAAGCTGGAGGAAACCCAGACAGCTGGGGACTTCTCTGACAGCCACAAACAGAGGCAGAGACACTGCTCAATTCACACTGTTAAGGCGGATTTCATTTCAATTATCTTGAAAACTGACAAACTCGTTTGTAAGGTAATCATTCCTTCTCCATCAAATGTACTCTTCTATGTTTTACCATAGGCAGCATTACTTCTTATGCCTGTATGAATTACAGGAAGGGTGACCAAATGTTGCATCTGGGACCATCAGGTTTTTAGTGTTGAAAGTTCCACATCCCAGGAGACATTGCTAGGGTGACTAGGAACCCTGGTTAAAAGGAGAAGGTAGCATTGCAAAAGGAGGGGAGCCTGCAGACATGCACTGCAGCCCTCAAAACTGCCTTGATAAGGCCAGACCCAGGAGGCTCACCCAGCAAAGCCTGCTCAAGAGCCCCCACTGACTCCTAAAGAGAAGAAGGAAATTCTGCTCAGACCAACTGTCTCGGGCGAGCTCAAACCCACACTGGACGGATATGGATGTCTTTATGTTTACTGCAGTTTCCTCAAGGTTAGCAAACTTCAAAAGCCCAAACAGGTGAAAGGAAGCTAAAGAAACAATAAGAGGCAAAGTTCAAAAGATGTGATGCCTAAGGGCCGTAAAACATACCACAGTATTTTTGCTTCAAAGACAACATAAACCTTCATGGCCCATGCATAGCAGGAAAGTGCCATCTAACCAGCTTGTTGGAAAAATTACAAGTCATTGCCCGAACTGAAAATGTTTCCCTGATGACTTGGTCTACTGTTCAACAACAATGAGCCAATGGGGCAAGCCCCCAGGACACAAAGGCAAGTAAATGTTGGATTCAAGGGAATCCAACATGGTCTCTGGTGAGGCCAAGTTGGTCCAGTGGCAGCTGTGTACCCCTGAGAGAGGCTGAAAAGGGGTGGCTTAGGTGGAGGGGCCACCCCATTCCTGGCCTGCTCAGCCACATTTTCTTCAGCAGGTTTTATGTGATGAAATATTCAGAAGGAAGAGAAGATCCCAGGTCATTCAGGTATAGTAGTGATAGAGTGACACTCACCCCTGTCACTCAGGGCCTAGCTTTCAGACTGAGAGCAACTTGTAAGCTTCTTAGAGCATCCAAATCTCAGAAGTGTCATAGAAATATTTACTGACCAGAACTTTCCAGGGTGGACATGGTGGGCCACATCCAAGAAATAATCAAAACTTCTGAATGCCATTTAAGTAGCTGACAGAAAGCTGAGACTGTGCTAGAAATGACTGACTGGTCTCACACTCCAGCCAGGATGTTCCAGCCATGGTGACCTTTTCTCCAAGCATGACTGGGGCTCACACCACCCAGCTTCTTCCTAGTCCCTAAGTGTGGGACTGGCCTTGTCTAGTCTGGGCCCTTCTCATCTCCTGTCTTTTCATCTCTCCCTACTTTCTTTCTCACAGCACAATGTCCTCTGTTCTTTTAGACTATTCCCCAGCATGTGTTTTCTTTCTGGAAAGCATTCTCAGAGAAAGAAGATCTATGTTTAAATTTGTAGCCCACCAACTGCTAGTTATGACCCCAAGCAAGTCTTCACCCTCTCTGGGACCAGGACCCTCATGACCCCAGCAGGATGGAAAAAAACAATTTCTATTTTGAAAAGCTTAAAAAAATCAGACAGAGATGATGTATATGAACTAACAAGAAGAGTGTGTGGTCACAGAGAGAAGAGGAGACACATCCTGAGACCCCTGATAGATGCCTGAAACTGCATCTATGTTCAGATAGTACTGAACCTTACATGCATACTTATTATGCATACTTACAGCAAAGTTTGACTTACACATTATGTACAGGGAACAATTGAAAATAACAGTAATAAAATAGAACAATTATAACAATACACTGTTAACAAGTCATTTAAAACTTATGAATTGCTTATTTCTGGAATTTCCCATTTAATATTTTTAATCCTGGTTTACCGTGATGAACTGAAAGTGTGGGAAGCAAAACCGCAGATAAAGGACAACTACTCTAATTCTACTCAGTGTTATTCAAAGTAGATCAAAAGCTTCAATGGGATATTCTGATAATTATCTCAAATCTTAATGTTAAGTCACATGGTAAACACTTAAAAATGGCAGATGTGTCGGTTGAAACTTCCAAAAAAAATCTTGATTCAGGATGTAGCTGTCTCAATGTGAAGTTCATGTTGAGAAAAATGATTTTTAAAACTCAGATTATGTGCCCTGGGGTCAGCCAGACCCTTGGAGCTGGTTCCAACTGCATCACTCACTCTGGACTTTTCCAGGGAGCCTTAGAAACAACAGCCCTTAAAATCTGTCAGAGGACATCCCAGGGCCTCTTTTACATCTTTATCAGAACTCACGCAGTCTAATTTTTATCATCCCCTTGTTACCATTCACTACATTTTCTTTCCTTCTCTGTCATTGTAAATAAGCATGTGAGGTCATTGATGCATATATCCCATAGAAGAGGGAAGCACAAAGCACAAATAAACTCAGAAAGCCCTGAATGATTTTTAACTTTTCCCCCTTCTGAGGAGATGGCATGAGATCTGGGATGTTTCACTGCCATTCAGTTAAGGATGTGTTTCCCCAGTGTCCTGAGGTGAGGTGTGCTTCCACTGAAGACTGGCTAGCCTCCTGGACAGATGATGGCTTGTGTCCCTAATCAGGGCCAGACATACACTGGCATGAATGACTCACACTCAAATCAGGATGAGCCCTGGGGAACTGACCTGAGAGCTGGCACAAATGCCATCTGGGGGACATGGACACCCACAGTCATTGGGCATCCAGGCAGCTCTTGAACAGGGAAACAGAGCTGGGACCTCTGAGCACCCACACAGCCCTAATCAAGGAGGGACAGCCTTTATAGCCATGTTGCCTGGGCAGTCCTCTCCTCTGTCTCCTCAGGTTCCTATGTGTGAAATAAGTGGAGAAGTCTGCCTTGTTAATGGCCACAGCAGTGCAAGTGGCCCACATCCTATTTTCTGAGTGACCTGCTCTCTATAGAGCACATAGCTTGTTACCTAATGTCAAAGACCTTCAGTGCTTAGTCCAAAGCCAAGACACTTGGCTCCTCTGAGCCTTGTTCATTTTATATAAAATTGAGAATAATCTTTAGCTCTGACCTCTTGAGAGAAAACATAAGCTTAGTATATAGAAATAATCTCTCAAAAAATAGAAAAACACACCCAAGACTCCTTATTATTAGCATAATTCCAAAACCAGCAGGAATGTGCAGGAATCAAGGGTCAATGCATTTACAGAACCATTTTGGAGTTGAAACACATCTCAGAAGCCATCTGGTCCAAGTGTTCCTTAATTTCTGAATCCTATTGCAGGAGCCAGAGATTCCACTGGGACCAGGTGGGCAACCGACTTGAAGACCAGCATGAGACTGTACAGAAGGAGGAACTGGGGAAAAGAATGCTCTGCCTAGGAGACTTCAAATTAGATCACAATTAGGCATTATGCTGGGAGAAAGAGAAAAGAAGATAGGCAGACGGGGAGTGGAGAGGAAGGAAGGAAAAAATGAAGAAGGGCAGAAAGAAAGAGGAGAAAGGAAGAAGGGACCGAGGGAGGCATATAGGCAGAAAGGAAGGAAAGAAAAAGGAAATCTGGGGCAAGCTCTCACTGACCTACATCTGACCGGCCTGAGGCTCTCCCACAGGCAGGTGCACCTCCCTTTCTCTGCCCCCACACAGCACTCACCTTTCTCAATCTTGCAGCCCCTGTGCCAGAGCGGATGGCATCCATCAAGGCTTGCCTGGCATCCACTGGGTTGCTGAGTGTTCCTGAGCTGAACCTAGAAGATGTCCTTGATGCAGAGAGAGCCTGGGAGTTCGGTGGGGGAGGTGGTGGCAGGGCTGGTGGGGGTGGAAGGCCATGGTCTTCTTGCTGAGGATTTTCCACACCCAGTGAATTGAGCGCAGCATCTCGAAAGCTCTGGAGCTCTTCAGAGGCAGAGGAGGACACCTAACAATGAGACATTTAAATGATTGCTTTAAAGGTTGAGTCTCCATGGCCCCCCAAATTTTCATGTATGAACTCTTAATCCCCAAGGTGATGACATTAGGAGGCAAGACCTTTGGGAGGTGATGAGGTCAAAGGGTGGAGCCCCCATGAATGTGATTAGTGACCTTATAAAAGAGACCCCAGGGAGTCCCTTGACCCTCACAATGTGAAGACACAGCAAGAAGTTGCAATCTATGAACCAGTAAATAATCCCTCATCAGACAACAAGTCTACTGATGAGAAATAAACTTCTGTTGTTTATAAGCCACCCGGACTATGGCATTTTGTTATAGCAGCCTCAAAAAGATAGTGTCAGTGTCTATACAGGTTCTTTTCAAGAGGGCAATGCACAGCTTACTGTCTTGCCCTTAGACTTCAGACGGCTTTTCTGTGCTAAGCCCAGGAAGTCTCTCTGCCCAAGGCTTAGACACTTGCCCCTGTGTCCTCCCAAGTCACAGATCACAGGGACCAGGATTTGGCAGTGATGTCTTGCTGAGAACTTTCTGATCTCGTAACTTTTCTTGGCATGTGAGGAAAGAAACAGGGGCTAGAAACACAAATCTGACCAGTTTGGAGGGTGGGGAAGACACACACTCAGAACCCTCTGAGTAGTAAGTTATGTTGTTCTTTGAATTCTCTGTGTAGAAGCCATGGGTGATACCATGCTGCCCCTAAACTCAAGACCATGTTGTTGCTGCAGTTATGCAAAAACCAGCACTTTATTCATTCCAGCAAGTGTGCAGTTGTATGCTGCCTGGTTATCAAAGCCCTGAAGCCATGTGGGTGCCAGAAGGAACTTGGAAAAGTGTTCCATGCTAGGTGCAGGCAGGGGTTATGCTTTTGGAAGAGGGTGGGAGAACCTCTGGGTAGTCTCAAGTCTCCTGTGCAGTGGCTGCCCCAGCCTCAAGTAGTAGCATGCCTGCCTCCAGTGCCAATGTGCCCAGCAGGGGGGGTTGGCTTTTCTGAAGCTGGATCACCACCCTCTTGGAATAATAGCAGTTTCTATGCCATCTACATAGGACACTGGGGGGAAGGAGTGGGTGGGCACTGGTACCCATCTCACCATGGTCTTTCTTACCTTCCTCAAGCTGTGGGCACCGCTGTGCCCGCGGATGGCGGCAAGCAGGGCTGATCGCTCGCTCTCTGCCTCCGTGTAGGATGGTTTCTTTGGCCCTCCCTCCAAAGTGTGTTCTGCAGTCTAGAATATTAATAGTGTCAACACATTTCACTCCAAAGATGGAGAAATATTAACTGTGAAACAGCTTGAAAGAAAATACTGCAGAAAGCAGTTGAGGCCTCTAAGATCAATTCCCTGTCTGCTGAAAGGTACATACAGAAGGACTCCAACTTACTATAGTTCAACTTTATCATGTTATGAAAGTATATAGGAAGACCAGTTTCTTTTTAATAAGTTACATGAGATATTCAATACATTTTATGAAATAGAAGATTTTGCCCAAATGGAGAACAACCTAAATATTCTGAGCACGTTTAGGGTAGGTTACACTACACTATGATGTGTTCTGGGTAAGGTGTATTAAATGCATTTTTAATTTCCAATATTTTTAACTTTCCATGGACTTACCAGGACACAACCTCATTCAAAGTCAAAGACATGTAAAAAAGAATCAAATATTGTATATTTGGGGTAGCATCAAATGTTGCCTCTTAATGACAGATCACACCTGTTATCTGTCCTGTCTTCCCAAGGCTGAAATGTGTGGTGATTTCCTGCCTCCCTGAATAAGAATCCTGGGTCCCTACTAATAAGTGTGTAGCATTGGGCCAGGACACTTAGCTTTACTGAATCTCAGTTTCCTTATCTGCAAACTAGAGGAAATTATACCCTATCATTAGTGTTAGCTTCACAGGCAACATTTTTGACATGTTAAATGCTTAGATAATGGAGGAAGAATGTCATAATTTTGCTTCTTGTGCTATTGGAGAGTTACAACATGCTGATGCTACAAATAAAGTCATGTGCCACATAACAGTTCAGTCAAGAATGGATCACATGTACAACACTGGTCCCATAAGATTACAGAGCTGAAAAATTCCTGTTGCCTAGTGACACTGTAGGCACCCTGCCATCCTGTAGCCTTTGCTCACACATTTGGGTGATGCTGCTATAAACAAATCTATGTGCTGCCAGTCATATAAAAGGATAGTATGTACAATTACACATGGCACATAATTCTTGATAATAATAACAAATGACTAAGTTATGATTTATGTATTTACTATAATCTTTATGATTACAGCAAACTCCTACTTGTAAAATAATGTTTTGTATACAATGTGCCATGTTACATCAGCAGCAGTCTCACACACCTTGTGTCTTCCATGTCTTTTTTTCTTGGTATTAGGGATTGAACTTAGGGGCACTCGACCACTGAGCCACATCCCCAGCTCTATTTTGTATTTTATTTAGAGACAGGGTCTCACTGAGTTGCTTAGGGCCTCACTTTTGCTGAGGCTAGCTTTAAACTCACAATCCTCCTGCCTCAGTCCCCTATACTGCTGGGATTACAGATGTGTGCCACCATGCCCAACCTACCATGTCTCTTTCTGCAGCAAGAGGCCATGTCTAGTGACTGATCTATACCATACAGGTTTGTGTGAGCACACTCCATGATGTTTGCATAATGATGATATCAACAAGCAAAACAGTTCTTAGATTGTATCTCCATTGTTAAACAACACAGGATTGCAGAGTAAAGCAGTGGTGTTGTCTGGATTTTTTATTTGCCCACTTCAGTATGCTATAATTTGGGTCTTAAATGTTCCAGAGGCTCATGTGTTAAAGGCTTGGTCCTCAGCTTGGAAAGTGGGGGAATCATTAGGATGTGGAGCCTAGTGGGATGTCCTAGGTTATTGGGGAGTGGCCTTCAAGGATATATGAGGTGCTGGTCTCTAATTCTCTCCTTTGGCTTCCTGGCCATCGGGTAAGCAAATCTGCCCCACCATGTACTCCCACCATAATGTGATGCCTTTCCACAGGTCCAAAAGTAATGGGCCAGCTGACTATAAACTGAAACCTCCAATCTGTGAGCCAAAATAAACCTGTCTTTTATTTAAGTTGGGTATCTTGAGGTTTTATGTCACAGTACTAGAAAGGTGACTAACACACAACGTTTGAAGTCCAATATGTGCAGGGTCCCACCATACAGCCTCTCTATTTCTCCTGCCGGGTGGATGGACATTCATTGACTGACATCTTTTACCCTCATGTTTGAGCCTGAAAAACCAAAACACATTCATTTTAGCCTCTTTACTAGTTCTATTCAAATATTCTTGAGGAAAGGAGGAGATAGATATTCTAGTTAAAAATGAAACCTGTGTGTTAATCCTTATTGCTATGCTTTTCCTGTCTTTCCTCTGATCCTCTTATAAAAATCTAGGACAGGTGTGGGTGTTCTGGTCAGGATCTCCCTTCACCTGTTTCCCCCATGGCCAGTGCATTCACCTTTCGGAGTTTTTCCTTCCCTCCTGCAGAGTGGATAGCTTCCATCAGGGCGCTGTGCAAGGACGTATCTTTTGGAACTGGCCTCTGGACAACAGGTTTAAATTTTTTCTTTGGCCCAAAAATGCTGGGTGGCAATGTACCATCTGTTTCATGCACATCTGTAGATAATGAATTGGGTTTTTGTTCCATTTCTAGGACAATGTGGCTACTAGTGCTGGGCACTTTGGGAGAGTCAGGAGGCTTGCTTTTGTCTGGGGCTCCTGTATAGCCATTCACCAGTGCCCTGCTGGAGCTCTGAGCATCTGCCAGGCGTGGAGGGGGCGGGTGTGCCCTGTCCAGTGTGAGCCCAGGGTCAGATGCTGAGCTGGTCTTTTGGTTACTCACGCCTTGCTTTTCATTGAAACCACAGCTCTGTCCCACAGAAACATGATCCTTCTGGGAAGATCTGACTAGTGGGAAATAAGAGCTTCTGTGGACAGTGGCAGGACAGTCTTGAGTAGACAACTTCCCACATGTGCTGCTGACCTCCCCTCTAGGCTGAGCTCCCGCGGCTGACTCTCCCCCAGCATTGCTGGGAAGGCTGACTCCAGGCTGCTTTGCCTCATGTGTATGTCCTCGTGCCTCTGAGTACAGGTTGGGGGCTGTGTCATGCTTCACAGTGACAGGCTCTCCTGGTAGCTGTGGTGCTCTACCCACATGACACTTTTCCACATTATTGTGCTGCCTCACCACATCAGTATGAACTTTGGGAGGTCCGATCCGCTTGGCAATCGCAGAGGCCACATACTGGCTGGATGTTCTTCTCTGAGGTTTGAGGAATGTGACTTCTGTGGTGTTAGCTGCTGGCACTTTCATGTGACAAGTGACTGAGGAGGGTGGTCGGCTACTCCCCTCTTCCAGGTGTGTCCTGCATTCTTGGGGGCCAGCCTGCTGCTGGGGTGCAGTCAATGTTGGGGCCACCTGGAGTCTGTTATTGGGCTGTGGCTTGGCTGGCATGGTGGTGGTGGTGGTGGAGGGGTTCCTCCTGGCTGAGCAATCTGTGGGCTGGTTCAGCTGCTTCTCCAATGAGCTGCACCTCCAGAACTCCTTGACTTTCCCAATGGGTTGAGCTTCTGTTTCAATAACAGACGATGAGATGGGTATGGTCCTGCTGCTGTTCACATGGGGGCTCACCAGATTCCCCAGCTCATCGATCTTAATGGCGCCCGTGGAGAGGGACACATTTCTGTCATAGCATCTCATCTCTGACTTGGGAGGAACAATTTTGTAGGTAGTGAGGCCGCACTTCAGTCCGTAACTTCCCCTGGGGGTTTGGCCTTGCTGATACCATGATGGTGGTGCTGAGACAGTGGTTTTTCCGTTGCTTTCCTTTTTACTTTTTGGCTGTAAATTCACCCTCTGGGCAGGATGTGTTGTCTCACTGTAAGCTAGAACAGGCAATTTCCCTTTCTCCTTTGCACTTAGGCCATCTATTTGAAGTTTTGAAATGAAAGAAGTCACCTTGGGCCCTATTTCAACGAAATTCCCATCTTGAGAGGTACTGGATTGGGTTTCCTTTCTGAGGTCATAGGAAGGAGTGTAGGGGTCAGGAGCTTCTTCCCTCATCCTTTCATGAGGCTGGCTGTGCCCAGCCTGAAATGAGGCCTGGGGGTCTCTTCTGCAGGCAACGCTCCCCATGTCAAAAGAACCAGCATTGTTGTTTCTATTGGAAAACAGTCCTGAATCTACAGGATCATCTGAAACTTCCCCAATGAACGTCACTGGGATGGAATCTGCGTCACTGTTGGGGATGATGGCATCCTGCATACTGTGGTGGGTCACACCATTTGTGGAGCTGGTTAGTGAGCTAGTGTCTGTTTCATAACTCTCTTCCATTTCTGAAAGAAAGACAAATGCAAGTCACTGGTCAACTCGGCACGCACAATCACCATACTGATGACCTAATCATGACCATGACTTTGACTTCCCTAGGGCGACTTTGAGTAAACTACTTACACTTGTGTTAATTTTTTTTTATTTGTAATCTACATTACCTGGGGCCAGAATTTCAACTTTCATAAACTACAAAAGATCTGTTTGCAGATCTATGATGCTTCCAGGTAATTGTTCAGTTATAACATCTTGCCAATGCTGTTCAATAAGAMATAGATTTCTAAATCCAAGCTTCTGGAAAAATCTATTTTCAACACAGAAGCATGAAAGTGAACTTGACCTCAGGATTTCCTGTGCCCACCAGGAGCATGGCAAGACATACAAAACTTGCTCTAGCTTTAACTTCTTAAAGAGAATGACCAAGCCTGTGTTCCACAGAGTTGTCAACTCTTCTAACTGCTGAGTGAGGCAGTGGGTCATGTGTTCACAGATTGTGGGACACTGTACAGCTACGTCAATCATAGCTGGGAAAGAAACTGGAAAGCAAGTTGGATGCAACTACTGATCAGTTTTATAATCTGTTTCCTTTTTCTGGTTTTAAGGCATCAGCAACATCAAATTTCTAGTTTACTTTCAATTTGTGCCTTAGAGAAAGTAACATAGCTCTTTTGTTTGAAAGATTTTTTTATTTGTTTACTGAAATTATTTGCACCTGCCCTGACCTTAATAGTATTAATCCCTGCCCCCTATATAGCAACAGAATAAAACGTTCCATGGGATGCTCCTATATAAATGGGTCTAATGGACAAAACTTTGTGCCTTTCCTTTTTAGCAAGTACAGGGTTACAAGTTTTAATAAAAACATCTATTTATCTTTGTGCACCTTCTGTTTCCATATCCAGACCTTTTCATTTTCTTAAATGTATATGGGATACTTTTTAATATGCAAAATTAGTATTAATCAGAGCACATTAATTAAGCACATCTTAAACAGTCATTCAGACATTTCCATGTACTGCTTGGAGCCCTGATGGAAAGATGTCCATTAAAAACCATGCTCCCCTGAGAGCTCAGTCCTCAAATCCAGTTCAACCTTCAAGTTCAAGACCTCCTGAGAGTTCAGCCCCCAAGTCCTATCTCTAGGATGATGCTGTAAAACCCTCTGAAGACTTCTTCCCTGGGTACTTATACAAAAGTGTACTCAGAAATACTAAACTTCAACAGATATGGCCACATAGTATACCACCAAAATAGTAGGTTGGTGGCTCTTACCTTCTAGGTCTTCATCAAGTTCTGCCAAGGTCTTATGGAATTGTCCAGTAATGAATAGTTCTTCATCATTATTTAAGACGATTATAGCTTTCTCAGATCTAGGGAAGTCCAAAGAGTAAGAAAAATCACTTATTTACTTCTCTCAGTATTGATATAATGAACTCCTTTCTAGAAATATTTGAGAATGGGACAGTTCATCAAATTCAAGCAGTCACGTACTGCTTAGCCCACCATTGCCCTTGGAACTACTGATAGATTGTGTATTTGTGAGTGATGTGTATGTTCATACGTATGGTATGTATATGTATATGTGAGCATGTGTGTATTGGAGATGTGTATGTGGCATGTGTGCATATATGGGGTGAATGTGTTGTATGTGATGTGGTTTGTATGTGGTATTTGGTATATTTGGGGTATGTGTGTGCATGTGATCCCAAAGCGTTAGCAATACCCAAACCACACAAAGTGCCATTCAGTCTGCAGCCCAAAGTCCAATTTTAAATTCTGCTGCACAATTCTAAGCAGGAAGAGTAAATCAGGCAGTATACCAGACTTCAAACTATACTACAGAACAAAAGTAACAAAAAAAAGCATGGTACTGGTACCAAAACAGGCTGGTGGACCAATGGTACAGAATAGAGGACACAGAGACCAATCCACAAAATTACAACTATCTTATATTTGACAAAGGGGCTAAAAGCATGCAATGGAGGAAGGATAGCATCTTTAACAAATGGTGCTGGGAAAACTGGAAATCCATATGCAACAAAATGAAACTGAATCCCCTTCTCTCGCCATGTACTAAAGTTAACTCAAAATGGATCAAGGAGCTTGATATCAAAACAGAGACTCTGTGTCTGATAAAAGAAAAAGTTGGCTCCAGTCTACATACTGTGGGGTCGGGCTCCAAATTCCTCAATAGGACACCCATAGCACAAGAGTTAATAACTAGAATCAACAAATGGGACTTACTTAAACTAAAAAGTTTTTTCTCAGCAAAAGAAACAATAAGAGAGGTAAATAGGGAGCCTACATCCTGGGAACAAATCTTTACTCCTCACACTTCAGATAGAGCCCTAATATCCAGAATATACAAAGAACTCAAAATATGAAATAATAGGAAAACAAATAACCCAATCAACAAATGGGCCAAGGACCTGAACAGACACTTCTCAGGAGGACATACAATCAATCAACAAGTACATGAAAAAATGCTCACCATCKCTAGCAGTCAGAGAAATGCAAATCAAAACCACCCTAAGATACCATCTCACTCCAGTAAGATTGGCAGCCATTATGAAGTCAAACAACAACAAGTGCTGGCGAGGATGTGGGGAAAAGGGTACACTTGTACATTGTTGGTGGGACTGCAAATTGGTGCGGCCAATATGGAAAGCAGTATGGAGATTCCTTGGAAAGCTGGGAATAGAACCACCATTTGACCCAGCTATTCCCCTTCTCGGACTATTCCCTAAAGACCTTAAAAGAGCGTAGTATAGGGATACTGCTACATCGATGTTCATAGCAGCACAATTCACAATAGCTAGACTGTGGAACCAACCTAGATGCCCTTCAATAGATGAATGGATAAAAAAAAATGTGGCATTTATACACAATGGAGTATTACTCAGCACTAAAAAATGACAAAATCATGGCATCTGCAGGGAAATGGATGGCACTAGAGCAGATTATGCTAAGTGAAGCTAGCCAATCCCTAAAAAAAACAAATGCCAAATGTCTTCTTTGATATAAGGAGAGCAACTAAGAACAGAGCAGGGAGGAAGAGCATGAGAAGATGATTAACATTAAACAGGGACGAAAAGTAGGAGGGAAAGGGAGAGAGAAGGGAAACTGCATGGAAATGGAAGGAGACCCTCACGGTTATACAAAATTACATATAAGAGGAAGTGAAGGGAGAGAGAAAAAACAAGGGAGAGAAATGAAGTACAGTAGATGGGGTAGAGAGAGAAGAGGGGAGGGGACGGGAGGGGAGGGGGGATAGTAGAGGATAGGAAAGGCAGTGGAATACAACAGACACTAGTATGGCAGTATGTAAAAACGTGGATGTGTAACCGATGTGATTCTGCAATCTGTATACCGGGTAAAAATGGGAGTCCATAATCCACTTGAATCAAATGTATGAAATATTATATGTCAAGAGCTATGTAATGTTTTGAACAACCAATAATAATAATAAAAAAGAAATTAGCCAATCCCAAAAAACCAAATGCTGAATGTTTTCTCTGATATAAGGAGGCTAATTCATAGTGGGATAGGGAGCGGGAGCATGGGAGGAATAGATGAACCCTAGATAGGGCAGAGGGGTTGAAGGGGACGGGAGCAGTTATGGGGTTATTAGTGATGGTGGAATGTGATGATCATTATTATCCAAAGTACAGGTATGAAGACATGAATCGGTTAAATATACCGTGTACACAATAAGAGATATGAAAAATTGTGCTCTATATGTGTAATAAGAATTGTAATACAGTCTGCTGTCATATATAAATTAAAAAATAAAAATCTGAAATAAAAAAAAATAAATAAAAATTTAAAAAAAATTCTGCTGCACAAAACAAGTTCATGTGCAATGGAATATGCTTGCATACTTGTGTCACCCAGCAGCAGTCACCTATACCTAGCACCTGGTAATAAGGAGTAGGAATATAAATCCCCAGGATGCACATGTAATATGGTAGCCAGGAGCTGGTCCAGCTCATTCCTATGTGTTAAGCTGTCCCTGAGCACTTGGGTTTTCTCTCAGTGACCCTCAGGGCCCCAGTGATGAAGGCTGTAGGCTCTGGCACAGGGCATGGCCATGCAGCTCACATTGTCAAGAGAACCTTGGGGAGGACATTTCAAGCTCCTTGGGTGGTTTCCAGAAGCCCTGTCAACTTTTTAAGCTCATACCTTCATCTGTGCCGTCCCTGCCAAATTCTGAAAAAGGACAGACTTGCCATTCCTCTATAATAAGGGGCTTTCATATATTCTTTGATCTGTTCCTTTGTCATGTTTTTATTCTGGCTTAATTCTTGCACTGGGCAGGTGATGGAGGGGACAGGAGCACAAGGGGGAGGGCTGATCATGCCACCCACAGAGCTGTGCTTCCCTGGCCTGCCACTGGGAACATGAAGATAATGGCAAAGGTGACAGCAAACATGTAGCCACTGTARCAAGAGCTCCTATCCTTGCCTCTCATGCTCTTCCCCTATTGCCTCCTCTGAGACCCAATAGGAGGAGATAGCCTGGCAAGCCTTTGTTTCAGAGCAGGTGACCGTCTCATGCCAAGCCCTGAACAGTCCTCTTTAGTATACATTATCTTATTAGAATCCTCACAAACAATTTATGAGATAGGTAGTGTTGTTATCATCATTGTACAGATAAGAAAGTATATACAGAGAGCCTCAGAGACCTGCACAAAGTCACACCAGCATTCAGAGCTAGGTGTACCTGCTCCAAAGCTTGGGCTTTGCCAACCAGGTGGCCTGGCCATGTCTGAGGCCAAGAGGCACAATACAGCCCCCTGTGGCTCAGAGTGTCCCAGAAGATGTCAGCCCGCCTGCTCAGGAGAGCGGGGTGGTGCTTGATTTGCGTCAAGGGGACAATGGCATCCGTGAGACAACTGCTGCCAAAACAATTTGAGAGCTGTCTTTGCAAGGGCTATTGCCTCTATTTTCCTATTGTGCAGAAAACACAGAGACATGTCTAAGGCAATTGTCTCTCTTTAGTGAAAGCTGAAGGTTCTTTTCCGCTGATTGTTAAAATTGAGGACCAATCTCCATCGTTGCTAATCAGGCCCAGATAATGATGCATAAAATATGCCTTGCACAATCCTCACTTACGCAGTGAAGTTTTTATTCTGATAAATGAGTCTTTCTTTCTTTCTTAGTGACTATGTCCATTTGGGAGCCAGGAAGTGGCTTCAGAATCAGTCTCAGCTAATGTCCTCTGACAAGCCAGACAAAGGCGGCTGGTCGGAGATGTGTGTGCATGTGGACCAATTAATAAGGACCACAAGAGGTGCACAATTGTCCTTCCCATTGCTTTGGCCTTAGACTTTAATTATTTGAATGCATTTTATAAAAGCATTTTCTCTTGCATGGAATGTGATGGTATAAATAAATTTAAATATTTAATAAAATACATATCAGAAGAAAATATGGAAATTGATGGACAAAACAATATTTGCAATGGAAAACAGAGCACTTTTAAAATGATTACTCTTGATTTAGGATGCTGAAAGCCCAGCCAAACAAAATTAATTACATACTTTTATTTTGAAGCATTTGCCTTTATTCAGGGTATGTGTGATCATATCACTCAAGGAGGAGCTGAAAAAAATAATATTAATAAGAACTAAAAACAAATTTAAAATAAAAATTACATTGCTTTTGAAAACATTAAAACTAGCAAAAATATGTAAAAATATACCATCTGGGGCTGATAAAGTTGCAATAAAAATGAGACATGCACACTTTTTACTGGTTTTAACTGGAAAGAAATGTAGAAATATACACCAAAATACAGAACAAAAATCACTTTATCTTTGTAGCAACTTTGGTGTGTTAAGTCTCTGTTTTAACAATTTATCTTCAGAAAACAATCCAAAAGAAGGAAAAATATAAACACAACAGTAGTCATTGTATTTATGTGAAGAATTCTAAAATGTCCAGCAGCAGGGAAAACTGTCTAAATCACTGCATGTTGTAAAAATCTTAAAAATCCGTAACTGACAAATCATGAAGCCTATGTAGAAATACAGACCTCTGTGTCATCTAGCACCTTTTGTAAATAAATTAAAAGACTTTTAACTATATGTAGGATAATTACAATGATGTAAAAATAGCATGTGCCACTGGGTATAGTGGTAAATACCTGTAATCCCAGCTACTCAGGAGGCTGTAGCAGGAGGGTCACAAGTTTGAGGTCAGCCTCAACAACTTAGCCAGGCTCTGTCTCAAAATAAAAATATATAAGGGATGGGGACATAGCTCAGTGGTAGAGCTCCTCTGGGTTCAATCCCATGTTGAAAAAATCATGTATGTCATATGCCTGTGGACAAGGGTGGGATAAAAAATCCAGACATCAACAAACCAAC